CAATGTTTTGTGTGGTGTTTTTGAGCCGATGGAGCCACCATAACACTAGTTCTCAGAGAGACGGAGGCTTGCTTTGGGGTTTGCGCCAATACTCGAGCTGATTCGTTTATGCCGGTTCAATTTGACCGTAAAAAATTCTCTTCTTTCAGCATTAAAAAATATTMTATTTTAGTCAAACCGAATCCACAGACTTTCTTCTGTCTTACAATGACTAAATGCCAAATAGTCTTCTACTCTATTCAAAGTATCCAATGTGCCCAGCACATTTGACACGTTTTCCCGTGTCAAAACTTGTCASTCTTGATTTGTACTAAATCTCCAGATTTTCGATTTCAATGAAAGACTACCGAGGTAAATTTCACTGAACTTGATATTGTATTGGATTATCTGTAGTTAGCTTTCGTTTTTTTTTAAGTAAAAGAGATTCAAAGACTAAAACTGTCGGGCTTGGAAAACTTTGTCGAAGAATCTTCCAAGAACAAAACTAGCCCCTGGGGGTGGTGGTGAGTTGTGTACAAAATTCCTAATTGGGAGAGTATACTCGCGCAAAAAAACAAAACAAAACAAAAAACAAAACAAAAAACGATGTAGTGGATTTCGATTCGATTTCACTGCATGGTTTATATTATGGTAGAAATTATCATCATTTCGAATAAAAAAATATTGAAGACTTTTCCCCCGATCTTATTTTTACCTTTCAGTTTCATTCAAATTGGGCTACGTGTGACTTCCGTATCGGGAGCTCCGCTTTTATGCAGTGCCTAAATATATATATTCTAGTTAGATTGTTTGTTTGTTTGGTTGGTTGGTTGATTGGTGTTATGGTCATCCTGTGTGAGATTATGCATAAGATGCGCGCGCATGCCATGTGCGCTCTCTCTCGAATAAATGTGTACGGCCATCTTGAAGTTGTCTTTGATGTTTACACAAATACATGACAGTTGGTTGGTAGGTGGACAGGTGGGTGGTTTGATTGGTTAGTTGGTTGGATGGGACACTGGTAGTGGTTTGATTGGTTGGTTGGTTTGACGATGGGTGAGTCATTTGACTGTTTGATTGGTTGATGGGTTGGTAGTTTCATTGGCTGTTAGTTGGTTGATTTTGTTGCATCGTTATTTCATTTGCGACATAATTTTTAAATATTATTTGCAATAGCTAAGCAGGGGGTAATTCCTTTTCTTGTGGACGCGCATTGCTCTGCGCGGAAGGATGAAGAGGCGGAATATCCACGGAATTACAAATCATTTTACTAGTATGAAAAAGCGATGAAACATAAAGACAATTTATCCTATCTCAGGTAACTCTCAACCTTACTCAACGTCTAATCCCACGTGTGCTGGTCAGTATGGTATAATACCAGCAGATAGTATAACCATCGTCTGTAGCCCACCAATGAATGGAAGATATGTTACTATTAGACAACTGCAACCCCTTCAGCAACTCTCCTTGTGTGAGGTGGAGATATATGGCAATGGTAAGTAGAAAACGTATTTTATTGCTATTCTTCGATTGCACGTTTACGTCTGTCGCGTCCATGTTGGTACCATTTAACATACGATTTCTAGCATACATTGTCAACCGCACCACGATGGCCGCCATGTTTTTGTCTTTTGACACTCTTTGGAATGCTTGCAACCCATCAATATTTTTCATAACTTCGCTTTGATATAATCTGACTAGGTATAGTGTGTCGGTTGAAGACATGAGGTCGTGGAAACGTCCTCTAATTTTGTCTCTAATTTTGGTCTTTTAATTTAATAACTTTTTAAAATAACTTTTAACTTTAAATAAAATTTAATAGAGTCAGTGATCCAACAGTTTTTTTGTCTTTTCTAGAAAATCCTGGTCTCAAGGTAAAGGCTATCGATAACAAACTTAATGAGAGATGTGCGAATACGGTTAATGAAGACAAAAAGACATGGTTAATGGTTGACCTTGGTTATAGCATACCGGTATACAAAATCTACATAMATTTCTACTTGCCATATGGTATCATCTTTAAAGTCTTTCAGATTCATATCGGTAGGTGTTGTGTTATCTCGATTTAACTCATATAACGTGAAATCCCAGGTTATAAGCTTTTTAGTATTAATTTAAGCTTACTATATAAAGCATTTCGATTTAGCTAATTTGATTCAAAGTTATATTTTTAGTGGTATTTATCATTTACTTGGAGAGTAATAGAAATAAATAACCCGCGTTTCATCCTCAGCCCAAACTCTTTTGTTGTTTTTTTCCGGCTAAGACCCACAAAACTTAATTATGAGCTCCCCGATTGTAAGCCCTTTATATAACTGGGGTTTTACAGTATAAGACTTTTTATTATAACAAGACTCTGGTGGCAGGGCAGACCGGGTTACCTGGTTGGGAAAGTTTACTAGCATAAGTCTCTAAGAACCAAACTCCCCAATAGTCCCTTTCACAGTTCCCTGCGCCATCTTGAAAGGTAGCCGAGCCCGTGCCTCGAAGCGAGACGGACGGTGAGCTTGCAATGATAGGGACCTATTTTAACACCTTGGACAATTATTCACATGTCTCTATCATAGCAAGCTCACCGTTCTTCTCGCTTCGATTCACAGGCACGGCTACCTTTCAAGACGGCGCTGTGAAGGGGACTATTACGATCCGGATTTTGGCATACGTTATTAGGTTGTCGCGACTTYAGCCTCCATAACCATGCACATTTGCACAGACATTTCATAGCCTTCTTTAAAATCGAAATGTTTCATTTAAGACGCAGATACACGCTAATATTTGCTCAGGATTTCTCTCAGAATAGACCTATCCCGAATTCGCTTGACTGACCACGAAACAATGGTTTGAATTTGAGACTGAACTTGATACTTTTATTCATCAAGCTCAACCTCGACTTGAAACCATTGTTTCGTGACTATTGCGCAATTTGCCCACTTTGTCGGGGAGGAATCAGGAAAAAAAAAGGTATTTTATGAACGGTTTACCAAAGGTAACCCGCTAATAAGCATATTAAATCATTATTTGTATTTTATCGATATCCAGGAAATAATGGCGCTCATGGTGGTACTTCCAATCCAAGTATTATTTATGGTCATGCTAGAACTGAAAACGACTTGACGAGACATTCAATTTTTTTAAGTCCGATAATGATTGGACGTTATTTAACGATCCAGGGTAGAGGCGGTTACAAAAATTCATATATTAGAATATGTAAAGTTGAGGTGTATTCCAAAGGTAAGGTGATTTAGTCAATAATATTTATAATAATATTGTAATCACACGGTCAGTAGGTCAGTCTATCATAAAGCAATACTGAGCAGGGAAAAACAAAATTTTTATAATGCCGTATGGTAAGGCAAAATTTGTTGAAGCAGTTCAACAAGTTCAACATATATATTAATTTACATGATTTTTATCTGCATCTCGACAGCTCCCGTCTGTGGAAGACAAAGTGTTGGTATCTCAAACAATCAAGTCATACCCGACAACAAGTTAACAGCAAGTTCTAAATTTAGTAACACGAGGTCTGCAGCCAAAGCCAGGCTCCTTGGCAACAATTCATGGAGACCACGTGACGATGATCCCAACCCATGGTTACAAATAAACCTTGGAGAAATTTACTACGTGTGTGCTGTGGCTACACAAGGTGATCGACACAGCGATGAGAGGACACGAAAATACAAATTAGAGTGGAGCTTAAACAATATCACATGGCAGTTTGTGAAAAACCAAACGTCGAACGAAACAAAGGTAAGTAAGAACGACTATGAAACTTTTCCCCAAGTGGAAAATAATTCGTTTTGTTTGTATTTTCTATAGGCATTGCATATTTTCCAATTTGTCACCTTTTATTTTTTGTATCAAGATATTTACAGGTAACAGAGACAGGTCAAGCATCATCAAACATATTTTCACCACACTCCTAAAGGCAAAAATGATACGGTTCCATCCCGTAGAGAAAAAACAGGCATACGCCCTTAGAGTAGAAATCTATGGTGTCAATATACAAGGTATGACTTTGCTTATGACTTACTCTCTCGCTCTTGGTCGCCAAAATCAACTCCTTAGTCTTTCGTTGCTTTATTCTGCAATTGCAGTTAGAAATGCAGTACACAGTATCTAGATCCTTTCAAATAAATGGATTAAAAATGAAACTGACCATGATTTGTAATGAAATTTATGTGATCAAAAATATTACTCGAAGCAGTCAGTTATATTTGATTTATGTATTTCAATATTGCAGCACCGGATGGTCAAATAATCACTCAAATCGTAGTGGTTCCAAAACGTTTTTTATTCCGTCATCTTGCATGTGTCCTCTTTCAGTACATAACATACAGGTAACCCAAACCAAAGAAAGCCCAATGCACTACGAATATGCTTTGTATATCATAGGTCTATTGACGCCTAATACTATAGGTGAAAGTGTGCTTGATCCAAGATATAAGTCACATGTAGACTTGGAGTGCAGAGCAGATAAAGGACTGAGCATCAAATGGTACCATAACGATACAGACATTACGAGTTACTCTATCGGTGCAGCAAGAACAGGATCAATACTCATATCAACACTACGTGTAAACTACACATCAGCTGATGATGTTTATGAAAAATATTCTTGTGGAGACGTTGTTGCCCGAAAACAGAATTGTACCAGTTTGGAATACATATGTCAAGTTGATTATGGTTCATACAGAAAACTACTAGCACGAGGAAGAGTCACAGTAGTATTGGGTATGTGTTTTATTCTTCAAATGAATCTGGGCTGTTTAACAGTTTTTTACTTAATTAAAGAACGCAATTGAGAATCTTGCAATCTTGCTCAAAATCTCGTGAATAGTTTATGGCGGATACGGGAGAGGGGGTTGGGGTGGGGTAGTAGGGTAGGTTTATTGGGGTAGTTTCTCGGTGCTGACCAATAAGAACGTGGGCTCTGGGTATAAGATTGCAACTTACCCACTGTTATTGAATTCTCATGTGGTCAAACAAGGGCAGATAAGGTGGGTTAATTGAGTAGTGAGCCACGCCTTTTAGAGTTCAAAGTAATAAGAATAAAGGATAAGGTAAAAACCAAACGCTATATCATTATTTTCTAGCTAACATTTACACATCCCCCCCATCCCCCACCTCTCCCCATCCTTGAAATAGCTCTCAGCGGGATCCGCCGCTGTCAATAAAGCCCAAAATCATTTTTCGCGGATTGTTCAAACCTTGCATTTTGTGTGGCTATTGGGTGTAAACCCCAATCACAGAAGAAAGTATGATATRTTATTTAACATTTTGTTTAAACAAATCTTTTTCTTACTGATGCAGGAGTTCTTAATGCACCTATCGTTGAAATACAGCGATCGGCACGATCAGCCCTTGTAAAGATAAAACAGACRAATAAAACAGGAGATCAAGATGACATCACAAGATATTATTTATTTGAACTCTATGGACAAACGAAAGTCGACACAAATCAAAGCACTTATAACCTAACAGACTTGAAACCCAACACTAACTATACAGTTAGAGTAAAGGCGTCAAGTAGAATTGGGAGGAGTAATTGGAGCATACCAGTGACGTTTACCACAAAGCAAGCAAGTTAGTATATCGACTTATATTGGTTTGCATGCAACTGAATAGGCCACTTGGGTTTAGTATATGTATCATTTTTTACAATAGTCTTCTTCACGGCTCAGTTCCCTGCCAGCACATTGAATAGTTATTGATAATGAACATCAAAACCAGACGAACAGTGAGTCACATATTTACAAACTTAACTACACAAAACTGAACAGAAAAATTGAAAAGGAAAACAGAAAGCACTTTATAACATCCGCTGAGATAATGAAAGACATGAAATGATGAAAGAAGATGTCTTAAAATCAACAGAAGAAGAAACAACTCACCGTTCTTCTCACAGTTTTGATGTTCAATATCATGAGCATCATTCATTATATATGGAAGAGGAATCGTGAAGAAGAGTCATGCCTTGAAGTTTGACCGATATCTAGAATACTGAACAAAAACATTTGTGTTGCGAGGGAGGTGAAGTGAGTTTCAATTGTCAAAAAATGAATCTCAAGGAGACTAGGGGTCCTTTCGGGGTTGCTCGTCAAAGAAATGGACTGTTTGTTTACCAAACAGAAAGAAATATTATAATAAAGGAATCGAATAAATTAGAAAATAACAAGCAACAATGAAAACAGCAAAACATAAAACCAATTTTGCAGAGCCATCGGTTTCCCCGAGAAACGTAACAGCTACAAAAATCCAAGAAGGGAAGTTCAACATTTATTGGGATGAAATACCCCCAGAAGATGCTAATGGTATAATAGTGGCTTATGAGGTTACTTGGATGCCTGTGAAGTTGCTACGCAGGCGGCGATCTCCATCTTCACGAGCAAGAAATGCTACCAAATCTCCTCACATGTTGACCGGTCTGTCACTGAATGTGACTTATAACGTCAGTATTCGAGGGTACACCGTGGCTGGTCCAGGCCCATTTAGCAAACCCATAACTATAAATGAAGGTGAGATCATAATAATTACCGTTTACTATCGGTACATAGTAATTATTTTCCATCAAATACTTTTTAATCTTGAAAAATTACGACGAACTTATACCAAACATGTTCACGGCACAGTTTTAACAGCTATTTGCTGAACCTCTTGAACAGAACTGTTTATTCTCTGCGCCACTACTGATTATCTGAAAGTGCAGGCTGCCTAATATCTAATTTGTACTAGTAATTGGTCCTGCATTGACTGTATCGATACGATTTACGTACAGGATAAACGATTGCAATGCAAAGTTCTTTTAATTCTTATACACACAGGATTTAAGTGCAGTTGCGCAAGCAAAATCCCCTGCGCTAATCTACTCCAGTTTTTTATCATTCTTTTACCCTATACTTTCCATGGACGTTCAAAAAGTAAGGGTCGTATCACGGCAACTTGCAAACTTTCCTTACTATTAATGAATGTTTCCGAATTATACAATCTTTGCAAGTAGTATGTTAGGGACCGCACGATCCGTATTTTTGCGGTGGATTTACTAATTTTGCGGTGGATTCGAGTATATTTGCGGAGGATTTAATTATGTTCTAATACGTCACGCATTGTGTGTATCATATGCGGTGGATTTAATTATTTTTATTACTTATTACCATAAAATGACGGGCAAAGAGACGGGCAGGGACGGGCACATTAATTATTCAATTACTTATGACCATAAAATGACGAGCAAGTGGTGAGCTATTATGTTTGAGGTAGGTTCGGGCAAGTCCAGGCAAAGCTATTGTGTATCACACAATAAGAACAATCAAACAGCTGAACTCGACAATTGGTCAACGAATCCAATAAATTTACGTCAAACCTTTATATACTCTTTGCGGAAAGCGTTTCTCTATCATAGTGTTGGAAGTACCTTCGAGTAAACTACACGAGTAACTTTACACCAAGCACCCTTAAATTATGGACTCATTTAACACCGAGAAACTTTTCGATTCTCTCCCTGAATCTCAAGTGGAAGAAATCTTGGTAAGTGATTCATGATCTTTATATTTTTTACCTCGTAAAGTTATTTATAAACCAGTGTTTTCTATCTTCTACAGGAATGTTTGTCGATACCAGAGGAAATTTTCGAGCCTATTTCTGACTCGGAATGGGCTGATTTGCCGGTAAGTCAGTGTTCTACAACCCAGTTCTTTGTAATTTAAAGAAACTAACGTATATTCTTTCTTACTTTCAGACTATTGACAATCACTTGAGTGAAGAGTCGTCGAATGGTCAGATCGGAATGGGTGATGATATGGTAAGTTATCTAAAGTAGTCAAAATAAGCCGTATTCTATTGTCTGATAGTCATGCTTCTTTCTCATCTACAGGAACCACCAGCTAAACGCACCCGATATCACCCGTTTTCACGGTTAGATGCTTTGAAGCGGCACCAAAAGCTCCATGTCCAAGGAGATAAACCTTTTGTTTGTCATCGTTGTGCTAAGAAGTTTCGAAGAGCTTCTGATTTGAAACGCCATGAAAAAGCCCACGAAAAGCGAGCGGTAGAGCGAGAGTACAAGTGTGGTACCTGTGGTGAAGAATTCAGGAATGCTGCTCCCTTTCGGGCCCACATAAAGTCGGCTCATGGACAAAAGCGCAAAACAGCTCCTAATGATCACCAAGGTAAGCTTAAAACAAGTATTATGAACATCAATAATATCAAGAAATGTTCATATTCAACAGAAATCTAACGTTCTATTTTATTTACAGAACCACCATCTAAGAAATCAAAACCGACCCAGAAAAAAGACCGTTCTGATCCCCAAGAAACCCCTGCTAATTCTGCTGGTTCTAGTTGGCAACCTGACCCGTTCAACATGCCATCCACACTTTTAGATGTGGACCAATCAACCCGAGAAATCTACAAAAGGCACTGGCGTCAGATCCGTACTCGATTTAGTCGAAGAAACAAAGTCCAGGATTGGTATAATTTCAGGATTGATACTCTCAATACCGAAGACCTCATCCGTCAAATTGAACGTATCTTCCAAGACCAATCTACCGTATTTAGACTCAACCTGTCTTTGGGTTTCATTCTCCGTAACAATGAGACGGGACAGCTTCAATTCTACCATGCTTCACATAACAACAGCAGACTGTTTGAGGAACCCTTCCTCATATCCAACGCCTCAGACCTGGAGAAAGTGCATGAGCAGTTACGAAACCTGGACATTCTAGAATGGGTGCGACAGAAAAGACCCAACTCCAAATGGGTGGTCAGCTGGGTAACCAATGTATGCTTCTACATTAACAAACTCCGAGATCATACATCCTCAACAATRAAGCCCTCGTTGCCTTGGAGTGCGACAGTAATACTAGCCGTCCCTACCAAGATAATCTGTGCTTTTTCCGGTGTCTGGAAGTGCATAACGGATGTCATTTAAAGAATTTGAAGAGGGATACCAAGCATTATTTTGATAGGTCAGTGTTTATTTGCTTTGATAGCTCAAAATGACTAAACTATTGTTTTCGCCACTAGTTCCTTTTGTTTTATGATTAAGTGAAATGCAAATTTAGAGTAAAAACCATGCTTCAGTTGGTTGCACATAAACAGCATTGTAATATTTAAGTCATTTTCTTTAACAAAATAAGAGGTTTCTTTAAACCAATAATTGAAACACCCGTGCTTGTTATGAAATCTATAAACGTGTAGAGTTAATTTTCGTGTTATTTCTTGTAGATACTCCCAAACCAAAGATAGTGAATTTATGGGTGTGGAGCTCGAAGATCTACCAATGTTGGAAAAAATGTTTGAAGTAAACATCGCTGTGTATTCTCTGGAACCCACTCGTCCTGATGGCGAAGTAGCGGATGAAGAACCAGAAACTCCTGACGAAGACCAGCCTGAAATAGCTGCACGTTTAATCCGCCGGTTCAAAAAGAATATGGTGGGTGGGCCAAGCATCATCTTCCACCGCTACCACGAGAAGGAAAAGACCAAGATCAGAGAAGTGGAGATGACAGGTCAAGGTAAAGAAGCCAAAGTGTGTCAAAAGATCGTGGGGTATGACGCCAATGCTCTCTACCTCTGGGCCATCATGCAAAATATGCCAACTGGGGCATTTACGAGAAGACGAGGAGAGACAGGGTTTAAGAAGGAAAGTTCAGTCAAGATGGCGACGGAGTGGTTAGAGTGGGAAGCCAAAACACGTGGTATTCAAATTCGACACCAAGTCAATGACACAGAGAAAAGGATTGGTGCCAGAAGACTGCCTGTGGATGGGTTCCATGGTCCCAGCCAAACCGTCTTTCAATTTCATGGTAAGRAAAACAAATTGTGTATTCATAAAATTGGGCTTCCTGTGATGTTCAAATAACTAAGTCCATTGCATTTTCTGTAGTTTTTTAAAATATTGATTGTTATTCCTCCTAGGTTGTTTCTGGCACGGCCATGACTGTCACTTGACGAAAGGGAAAGAAGTAAACGAGAGATGAAAGAAACCTATGGCTGAGCTGAGGTACGAGACTCGTGTGAACACCCAGTATATTCGTGATGAAGGCTATACGGTCATTGAGATGTGGGAATGTGAATGGCGAAGAATGAAGAAAACTAACCTTGCAGTCAAAGAGTTCGTGGAAACCAAGTTCTTCAGACCCATGGACCACTACAGAACCCTCACCCAAGACCAGATTATACAAGCCATTCAAAGTGAGCAGTTGTTTGGGGTCATCGAGTGTGATATAGAAGTTCCTGACCACCTGAAAGATAAGTTCAGTGAAATGTGCCCAATCTTCAAGAATGCAGAGATCAGTCGCGAAGATATCGGCGAGTACATATAAGGCTTTGCTGAGGATCACGAAATTATGGCTCGACCACGCCATAGCTTGATTTGGAGTTACTTCGGTGAAAAGATCTTACCGGCCACTCCCTTAATCAATTGGTATCTGGAACATGGTTTACAAGTGACGCGTATCTACCAGGTCGTGGAATATACGCCTAAGCCTTGCTTCAAGCCGTTTGGAGAAGCAGTGTCCAACGCAAGATGGGCTGGTGACAGAGACCCCAACAAAGCCATCATTGACGATACCATGAAGCTGGTACGTTGTTTTCACCTACAAATTAGATGTAGATTGCTGTGATGAGTAAAGCACATGTTGTGTACTTATAATAGTGTCTGTTTTTTTCTTTCTTAATATAGGTGGGCAATTCTAGTTATGGCAAGACGATCACGGACCAAGAAAGACACCGAGAAGTCAAGTTCTGTGATGAGGTTAAGACGTCGCAGTTGGTTAACAGCTCGTTCTTCCGTCAGCTGGAAGCCATTGATGACAACATGTATGAAGTCCAGTCAGCGAAGAAGCGCATTAGTTTAAATCTGCCCATGCAAATAGGGTTCTTTGTCTACCAATACGCTAAATAGATCTGATTTTGCTTATTGTGGAATGGACACCGATTCTGCGTATATTGCAATCTCTGGTGAAAGTGTGGAAAGTTTGGTCAAACCCGAAATGAGGGAGGAATTCGAATCCGACAAACATAACTGGTTCCCTCGTACCGATACTCCAGAGAACAAAGCGTATGATAAAAGAACTCCAGGTTTATTTAAGGAAGAGTGGTCTGGGGATGGGATCATAAGTTTAAGCTCCAAGACTTATTATTGCTTTGGATCTCATAATAAGTTTTGTTTCAAAGGAATAAACAAGAATACGAATGAAATTAACAAGGGAAAGTATTTAAATGTATTGTTAACCAAGCGAAGCAGTTAGGGAATCAACAAGGGTTTTAGGGTCGTGAAGAACAAGATGTATACTTATAAACAAGTACGGGACGGCTTTTCCTATTTTTACCCCAAACGTAAAGTGTTGGGGGATGGTGTTACCACTCTACCATTAGATATTTAGTTTATTTTTCAAACACAAATGTATAAATAGAGGGTGAACACACCTCTTTGAAANAAATAAATGTAATGTATATAGTATTTCTTATTCTATGTTTGGAATCGAATAAGATATGTATAACTTAAGACCGTTAAATTTTGTAAATAACATTATGAAGAACGTATATTTTAATAAGTAATGTTTATATAAATATTGTAAATAGTAAATGTACAAATTTCCAATAAATAGAGTTCGGAAGTGAACACACGTCTCTCTCAATGTCCCTTTTTTCCCTTTCTTACCTCTTGTCCCTCGTTTTAAAGTCAAATACGAGTTTTATTTTGGTAGAGTTTAGTTGTGCCTAAACTTTCGTTCAGTCAACATGTCCAAGCGTCAGAGTAGGAATTGTCCGATAAGTAAATGTGGATCGAAGTGTTTGGTGAAGTTATAGAATCATTTGGCTCAAGTTCATAATTTGTCAAGGGAGGAAAGAAAACCACACTTACAAGAAGCGAAATTGCAAACAAGTAAAGTTGTTCAAGACTACAATACACCGAAGTGTCAGGAGACTTGGCTTATCCCCCCGAAAAAGATAAAATAGACGGTTATAGAATTGATGTTTCTGTTTGGTAGTGAACACGTCTCTCTCAATTGGGAAACGTTCTTGAAGTCTTCACGAAACGAATGTCAGTGTTTCTTCTCCGAGAATGATGTTGGTTCTACAGTAGTAAAATTACCGTATAACTACTTTACTATGCCTGCTACTACGAGTACAAGATCCTTGAAACGGGACAGACGTTTACCAGTTGTGAAACTAATGTTACAAAAGCTCTTTTATTTCATAAGCGTTGTACTCAAAAACACTAATCAAATATTTTTTGTAACTTTTTAGGTCATAAATCATTACCGAGCTGATCACTGAGTATGATATTTAGTTTACAACTGACTCACTGATATTATAGTATTTAATGAAAGTTGTAATCGTCATCTATTCTTTTGCTTAAGTTGAACTGTAGGAGAATTTATAATTCATTAAACATTGGTAAAACTAGTACCTCATCATCTTCTTCTTGTTCTAGTATTTCTTGTAAACTTTGAAGTTCGAAATCTTGAGGAACTCTTCTTCTCAAGTGCTTCGGTTTGTAAAGTACCAAGATTGCTATGAATGTTAGTGGAACTAAAAGGGAAGAACCAACAATCCAACCAAGAGTGTATTTGGAAATGTGTTGGGAGAGGTAGGAGGTAGACGTAACCAAAAGTGTAGCAGCACTATTCGGGGATTTGGTGTTAGACGTTAAAGATGATGATTCAGACGTAAAAAGAGACGATGTACTTGGAGTCGGAGATAATCGTTCACAGTCAGAGATTATGAACTTAACTGTTCTTATACTGCGAATGCAATTGCAGTCCAACGTAGGGTTTTTCTTGAGGTTTAGCAACGTAGGTGAGGTTCGGTTCGGTTCATTATTTGTTTTACTTCTAAGCAGTTCAATTTGTTTCCATCAAGTAGGACGCTGTGATACTTCATAGCCTGTTCAATATTTAGATCAATCTTTGTTAAATGTAGGTTAGAACAATCCATGATCGCATAATCTGGGAGAGTAAAACATTGACATTCACCACACGGGTAGCTAGCACTTGAATAAAGCCAAGAATAAGAGAGTAAAATACTGAACAGATAGTAAGACGCCATTCTGCTAGAAGTGGTTGCAACCTCGTGTGTATGAAATGAGACAGCATGATGAGGTCATTTCCGATCCAACGAGTGTGAAAATTTCGTCAAATTTTGGCGTTTTGGGTACGTGGCGTGTGAGACCAGTGCTATTCAAAGTATAAAATGGAGGGAGGAAAATTCATAACTCGCGAGATGTCATTGCTACCTTTGAATTGTMGATTCTCAAATGCTAGAACCTGATCAGAAAAGAAGCTTTCTTAAAAAAATAGCGATGATTCATCAGTGTGTACACTCCTATAGGACATGCATCATATCGTTGCCTTTACAGGATAATGTCTTAAAATCGGAAGATAGAAAATATTCGTTTTAATTCAGCTATGTGATAACAATTGCTGTAAATATTTATTTGACAAAAGATAATAATAGGTCACCACGCTCGTTTTCGCTCAAAACGTTGCTATTAAAGTACGCGAAAATGAAGGTCACTGAACTATACATTGACCTGAAAGTATTGGAGCAAAAGTGGTAAACTGTGTGGCGAGCTGATTTAGACGATATATATACGGTTTTCTATTTCGTGCATTGATCCCGAACAGGTTTTTTTTTTCCACACACACACCTTATCACCATTGTTGAAAAACGTTATGATTCTTGAGTGTACATGGTCATCTGGTTGTAAGCACACTCTCTAAGTATAAACTGATGCAAGCTTTCAGGCGAAAGCTCCACACTTAGCGGCTCAGCATGGCCCTGAGACTGGAAGAATCCAACAAGTTTGGATATGCTTGTGTAAGGAAAAAGCATCTGCAAACAAACAGGCCATCGGGCCTTATGAGGCCACAAAAAGTCACATCGGGCCAAAACGGGCCAAAACGGGCCAAAACGGGCCATGTAGCATATCAGAAAGCTTCCATTTACTGCGAGTATAAATGATCAATTAAACATGACTCAAATGCTTAGAAACTGCATGTCCTGTTTGTGGATCAGGAAGCATCAATCAYGCTCGACTAGCAAATCCTCTAGATAAAGTTCACCGCATGGATAAAAACTAACTTTAAAGCACAGTTTGACCTCGAATTGGTATGATCATTGAAGGAAAAATACAAAATTTAAGAACATCGATTGAAAAGCTGATCTATAACAACAAACGTTTTACCGATAACTAGTATTTTTCATCAATTAAATTCATATTTTATAAATGTTGGCCAAATGAATCTGAAATTTAATTAGATCAAATATTTTAAATTAGATCATGTATTAGTGTTCCACACAGAAGTGCATAAAAATATCGAGCACTTTATTAGTGAGGCTTTAGCAATAATATTTATTCACAACTTAAGGGGAAGGTCGGTCGATTTGATTTGTCGTTTTGATCAACTCAGCTATTTCCATTGTGTTGTATATACGATAACCTGRAAGGACTTTTTTCTATGTGACTTTTTAAATTCTATAATTTTATGCTGTATATGACTTTTTAGCGAAACCGGATCATGATTCAGCTAATAACAAAGACAACATGAATAAAGATGAAAGCTTGGTCAATAATGCTAAAAGTTTTTGAATAATTTTCAAACTGTTGTATTTATTGTTTCTCAATCATGGCCAAWTATTTYCTTTGTGTTGGGRACAATAGAATTTATTCCGTGAGATCTAGTGCTTAGTCTAGTTTCCCGTTACTGCGAGAATCTCACAATACATATATTAGAATATGGTTCAGACCTACGAATAATGTAACCAATATTTCAATTTTTTTTATTGAGGGCATCATACTCTTTACAAGATGTACGTAAGGAATGAAACATGTGCAGTTCTAGTTCCTCTAGATTTCCCGTGAGTCGAACATTCCGTAGGATCCTACACCATTCGTTTTCTTCCGTGCCACACAGCATTGGAGAAACTTGGAAAGGAAACCCATAGGATTCCATGATGTAAGTGTATATAAGTCGAATGGTTCTCCCATTCCCATCTCCAAAAGGATGTAATTCTAAGAACGTGTAGACCAACCACGCAGTAAGATGAATCAAGTCTTCTAAAGCTTTTCTACGGTTTACAGTTCGAAGGCGGTTTACAGTAAACCAGCAACATCTGCATGGCTTGTTCCATATCTAACGGATTGGGATAAATATGGAGTTTTCCTTCAAACTCTGCGAGCCGTTCCTTCTCACTGTATTTTCCAACTGTACATAAATGACTGCGATGATACATGAGGATCCTGTGAACTTCCGTAATGACATGTTATCTAATAACCCAGCATCATCACATTGACTCAGTTCGTGAAGATACTGATAGGCTTTTACAAACCCCAAAGTATCGAGATTTACTCAACACATAAGATTGTTTCAAAAAACATTTATTTTTGTTAGAAATTTTACACATGAGTAATTACATCTAAAAGCTAAAATAGACTGAAATTAGTTCCATGCCTGCTAGATGGGTGGATATAGAGCAGTATTACAAAACCTTTATTTTACATTGCTGAAGTGCTCAAAGTCTGAAACATTTAAGTTTCCTTTTTTTAAGTGGTACTGAACATTTCATTTGCTTAATGTTTGAAAATTGAATTTATAATTTTGGATGTTTAAATATTTTAAATATTTAAATATCGTTTTATGGTAATGATTTAATAACAATTGATGTGCTCGTCGTTTTATGGTAATAAGTAATTGAATAATTAATGTACCCATCCCTGCTCGTCCTTTTGCCCACCATTTTATGGTATAAAGTAATACAAATAAGTGTATAGGGTTTGAAAATAATAGCTCAGCACTTGCCCATCATTTTATGGTAATAAGTAGTAAAAATAATTAAATCCTCCTTAAAAATACACTCGCTGAATAAAGCTACCTATGGCATCACAGATTTGATCTCTACTGATCGATTAAAATCCTGTATTCTATTGAATTTTATTGTGTTTTGACACAATAGGAAGGATGCTATTATGGTAATGCATGACGTATTAGAAAATAATTAAATCCACCGCATATGATACACGTAATGCATGACGTATTAGAAAATGATTAAATCCTCACCGCTCCTCAGCCATCCTCACCCATCCTCACCCAAAATTAGTAAATCCTCACTGAAAATCCGGATCGTGCGGTGCGGCCTATACTACTTTTGCACTTTAAACTTTTTTTTTGAGATTTATTTTAATGTCTTTTTCTTCACTGTTTTCTTTATATTCAAGTGATGGAAACGACGACATCGAAGGACGGATTATCACTCGATTCATCATCATCATCTGAGTCATTTCTGCTGATCATAATCGTTGCTGCCGTAATCTCAGCTCTCTTCTTAATCATGATTGTCATGATAGTTATCATAGTTGTGAGAAAAAGGTTAGTCAGTAGTTAAATATGTAGCTTCAGTAAAATCTGCCATGCCTCTGTGCAAGTTGATTGGAATTTGGTCAAAACAGACGACGTCATTCACTTGAAATTTAAGTGACTTTGGGGTCCAACATGAAAACCCTTCTGCAAAAAAGTTTCGTAGGAGTTAGAATATGCAAGAGGAAGCATGACTCTGTTGATCAACACAAATGTTAGCTGACTATTTATTTTACATTTACAGACATAAAAAGAAAGAAGAAAAGGTAATGCGAGTACATTATGCATCTCGTGCTTCAGAACCTAACGCTGAAGGATCAGCTTTGATGGAAGCCAATGACGAAAGAGGTATAGAACACAAAAACATTAGATCAGTTATCGTGATTGGTCATCTTTTCCTTGCTTTATCTTAATAGCAATTCCCATTTTAAAAATACAAGCTTTACATCTTTATATCATAGACCTTTTACAGCGCAACGGGCAAACGTATGACCACATTTAATGTATTTGCATACTTCTATGCACGGGTTCTGTAAGTTAAACCGACAAATTTTGTTAGGAAGCTGGCTGGTTTTACCAAATAAGGTGTGCAAATGCTCGTTTGGCAGGAAAATGCCCGTGCATAGAAGTATGCGAAAACATTAAATGTGGTCATACTTTTAAGCGTTGCGCTATAAGGTTAAGATAAGAAAGACCGCTTTCAGTTTGATGGAAGGAATTGTGTGTACAAGAAAACGATCTTTCTAGAGTTGCCGGGGTAATCAGTTTGAGGAAATAAATAAGTAAAATAAATTGTCGTGTCGGTTAGTACTTTTGCCCTCGTTCAATGATCAAATTAGAATTTTGCAGTTGATTTTTTATGAAAAGAAGAAAAAGGAAAAAAAMCCCCAGAAAACCCTAATTAAAATACCTCAAAGCAAAGGAGATAACCGACGCAGAATAAGAAATTATTCTCATAATTAATTGCGAGTCCAAGGGTCCTACCCACCGCATTGACGCAAGGAGAAGTTGCGCGTTAGAGCAGTTTTCGTATGACTGAAAAGCTCGAGGCACGAACACGGCCGTGACTGAGGCAAGGCATACACCAGATCAATCACATTGCACGACAATTTACTCTCCATCCAATCAAATGCCCGAAACGCGCAAGAATAAGACGCGGACACGGTCAAGCCTATTCACGGCACTGCCAAACCAATCACATTGCGCGAGAAAATATTTCCGCAGTTAAATTCTAGAAAAAATCACGGTCGCGGCAAGTCACGCGTACGGCACCGACTTTTTCACAGTCATACGAAAACTACTCCAAGTGGGCAGGACAAATACATTTTTGCAAATAAAACTCATTGCTTTTACTAAGAATTTGTTTTCTTTAGATGAACAAAACCAAAGTGACAAAAACGATATTGAAGAAGCAACAGTATCTGGTGCTATATATGGCAACTTGCTGAATCGGGAAGAAACAAAAGGCCCAGTTCCTGTCGCACAGTTTATAGAATACATGCGTAAAGTTGGGAAGGACGAAAACGAGATGCTGACAAAAGAATTTGAGGTAAACCGTATGAAATAACTATTTCATTACCCTTTTAAAGATACCCAAGTTATTGTTACGCCATTTCTGCGCGGGGATCATGTGTCCTTCTCTTCAGTGCGATTTATTTGTCGCTGGAAAATCAATCTAAAGGAAATGCCACGTGGTCTCAAATGGAAAAAACACTACGACTATTTTGGTTCTATTTAGATTGCATCTCTAGAACAGCGCGGTTCTCATTGGCTATGAGACAATTTCCAATATGTCAGCATAGTTTTCTGGACTGTTTTTTCCACATACATTCAAGGCAGCTTGAATCTTTTTTTTCTTCTTCTTCTTCTTTAGAACATGGAAAATAGTCAGCAGTTTCCTTCTCTGGTTGCCAGGAAACTAGTCAACAAAACTAAAAATCGATATGGCAACATTGTACCATGTGAGTAAAATGTTAATACAATTTCTCTTAATAAGCCATAACTGAAATTCAAACTTTGCGCTAGTTGCCTTGGGGCAGTTGCAAGAGGGCCTAATAGCGTTTGGACTAGTATACATACATTGGATAAATCCCTTTTATCTAGAAGATATAACCTATACAAATTTTATACAAGATATACCCAATATAGTCTATCCAACATTCGTGCAACCGGCTCCAGGCCGATTGTAGGACTGGGGAAATGGTACTCGCCTAGTCTTCTCACCCTTGTTCGCCAATCAACCTTTAGCAGGATATAGTTATCAGTYTGTCATTTCATAACTATATTGTCATGCATTAGACGACCACACTAGAATCGTTTTGGAGAAAGTTAAGAAAGATGAAGACTCGGATTACATCAATGCCAGCTACATCCGAGTAAGTCTTGTATGTTCAGTTATATACTTTCATTGCATGGATGGTAACTGTTTTGTATCTAATTGTTTTGGCCTTTTTTATTCAGGGATTTGATGGACGAAATATGTCCTACATCGCTTCTCAAGGTAGCATATCAGTGATTCTCTATTACAATCTTCATGGCCACTACATTATCTGGCTAGTGTCTTAGGTCCTCCTTTGATTTGAAGGGTTATTCTTCGGGTTGTCCGGATTTCCTCCCCCCGCAAAACCTAAAAAGCTAAATTGAAATCCAATGTCTAAGTTAGTTGTGTCTTTACTTTGTTTATCCCAAAGGTTGTTTAAGGGTAGCGATAAAATAGAAGCTAGTAAATCCGGGGGGTGCAATGCTCAGTAGTGCAATTTCTTCCCATCTTTTTGGTTCTCAAGTTCCATTCCTGGTTTTGGCATTAAAGGCATGTAATTAGCGTTAATTGTTAGGTAGGCCTCTTCCTTTGTTCGAGGAGTTTCTCCTGGTTCTACGGGTAGTTTTTTCCTCCCGCAAATCAAAGGACCCCAAATAGCAATTTGATCTGAATACCAACTCCTGAATTCATAAATTTGTTGTCTGACGATGCTTTATTCCAGGTCCTGTTCAAAAGACTATTGTAGATTTCTGGCGCATGATTTGGCAAGAAAAGACATCGGTGATCGTCATGTTAACAGGTCTTATAGAAGGACAAAAGGTACAGTGATGATATGATGAAGCAAAGGATAGTTTCAGAATTGTTAAACATAGTTGCCACATTAATAACATGCTAACAAATATTGTGTCCACCTAATAGCGGTACATTCAGCAGTATATGCGCACACCATAAGTGCTTCTCAAGCTTTATTGATTAATTTAAGAAAACGGCAACTTTTTTTTATAGACCAAATGTGAAAAATACTGGCCAGACGATTGTGACACGTACCTTGACATATCGGTTCAACTGCAGAAGACTGAAGTGTTTGCTGATTACTCGATTCGTTCTTTCTACTTGACAAAGGTAAGATTTTTTTCCTTGCAAAAGGACGTGAAACTTAAATATACATTCCAGTCTACACCATCGCCTGATGAATACTAGCAGTAGCCGTTTAAACGTCCACCCTACTGCCACAATCGTGAGACAAATGAATAAATATTGTATAGAACGGTCTGAAYCCAGGTGAATGAATGTTTATCGAAGTATTATGATCATCCGATTGGATGTAATCCTTAGTAGAATACATGAATAATGAATAACTATAATCTTTAGCTTTCAGCTTTTATTTCTTTGAGATTTTCCTCCCAGTTTCATCTATAGTTTCACTACCAAAAAGAAAWTTTTTCAGTGAATGATACGTGGTGAGACATGGAAAGAAAGACGCGGCTCTCCGGAGCGGCTCTCGCCATTTTATCAATTTTATCAATCATTATTAGTTATTGATAAAATGTTTTTACCACAGACCAAAACAAATGAACAACGCTGTGTCTTCCAATATCATTTCACTGCCTGGCCTGATAAAGGTGTTCCTCAATATGCAACACAGTTATTGGCCTTCAGAAGGCGTCTTGCATCAGAGACAGCCATGGGATCTCCTTGGGTTGTTCACTGCAGGTATGTATGGAATACGCTGGCTGATAGTCTCAAAGCAGCATGGTCATGGCTTTCTATTTTCAATAAGACTTTACTTGTCTGTAAAGTTTTTTTTATTATTTTCTAGTGCCGGTGTTGGTCGAACAGGAGCCTTTCTTGCTGTTGACGCCATGTTAAGACAAGCACAAGAAAAGAAAACCATCGATATTTTCAACTACCTTAAAATGATGAGAGAAAACAGACCATATATGGTGCAGACACCGGTGAGTTATTTGTACAAGCATTCAGGATGTTTAATTTGAAACCCTAAGAAAGAAGGAAGGAAAAAAGGAAGGAACAAAAAAAGAGAGGTAGGGAGGTGGACAGTAAGGAAGGAACACTTCTGCGAGACAATCTTCATGAACTGAGTAATATAGAATGATTTAACAAAGTGAAAGGTCTATAACGGCAACAGAAAGTGTTGGGATACTATTTAATGTTGAACTCCTTTCAAATTTAACAGGAACAATACTTTTTCGTGCACACGGCGATCCTCGAGTTCCTAACATGTGGAATCACAGAAATACGAGCACAGCAACTGAGAGAACAGATGTGCAAACTTGCCGAGGTTGACCAAAAGGAAAACCTCTCTGGATATGAGTTGGAATTTAAGGTTAGTCGTTGAATTCTGTTATCATTGTGCTTTTTTACTAAAGTTAGAAGATTCTATGTAGAAGAGAAAGGAATACGACTGTACGAAGGAGCTTTTGCTCTATATGCCAACCATATTATCTGGAACAAATAATTTCCCCCATGAGCATGAGGATCAGTTTTAGCGGGTAATAGCCCCCTTCACAGTTTCCGGCGCCTTCTTGGAAGGTAGATGTGTCTTTTCATCGAGGAGAGACGAACGGTGAGCTTGCAATGATAGAGATATGTGAATAATTGTCCAAGGTGTTAGAAAGATKTCTATCATTGAAAGCTCACCGTTCGTCTCTCTTCGCTGTAAAAGCACGGGTACCTTTTAAGATGGCGCAGGGAAATGTAAAAGGGACTTTTGACATTACTCTGTCATACCTCATTGAAAACTGGATGATAAAGTAGGACTTACCAAATTAGTGTCCACCATGAATCATGTACATGAAAACCACAAAGAACTTTTTTTAAAGGCACCGGTAGCTTTTAAAAAAGGTCATGTAGTTTTTGGTGCGTGAGAATGATCATGGGGTTTAGTAGTGGCATTCCCACAGAGTAGTTATTCGTCCACTGATCAGAAATTCCAATTGGAAATTAAAAGTACCCGGAGACAAACCCTCGAAGAGAGAATTAACAAGCAACTCTATTCACATTACGACACTGAGCCCTGCGGAACTCGAACCCAGGTCGCCACTCCACTTGTGCTTCTAATGGCCATGATATCCCGATTCCTCTCAGAGCGGCCCAGAAGCTTATTTTATCTGCCCGGCCCCTCTAGTATCAAATTTAATCAAGTGACTAAAATCCAAGAATGTCGTAAATGTCATAATTTGATCTTTTCAATGCAAATGTATTTCCACACGCAGCATCTTTCACATGTATGCCCTCCTGTCCAAGACGATGAAATCACAGCTGGAAACAAACCTTGCAATAACAGGAAAAACAGGTTTCCAAACATCGTGCCATGTAAGTGAGCATTAATTTCTTTCACAACCAATAGACTTTTTCGGCTTGGCCGTAATGTCTTTCCATTTCCGACCATGTGCCATTCCCTAGAGTATTATATTTTTACTTAACGGCTGTGCACAAGAAGACACTTGAATATGGATACAAATCAAACGAAGAATATCATTCTCAAGAGAATGACCGTTGGTCTGAAATGGGAAAAAACATTACGCCCAAGCCGAAAAGGTCATATTTATCAAACTGTCCAAGAATTCATAAGACTAATTCAAATTTTAAATTATTCCTCATGCAGTGGATAAAGCAAGGGTCTTCCTTCAGGTTGACGTCGAAGAAGAAGGAGCCAATTACATCAATGCTTCTTATGCAAATGTAAGCAAATATAGTTGCTAAGCTATACCAAAGAAACATCATGTTTATTGAAATATTGAAGAATCTCAGGACTGGGTATGGTTTGATCGCAAATCATTTTGGAATTTAGCATTTTGGGTTTTGCGCATGGAGAAAAACTACCCTCCACGATTGCCACTTTTTGATTCAAAAGAATTCTTGGATCCTAGTCTAATCACAATCCCTTGTTCGTTGGAAAACGGGACTGTGACCAGCCAGAATTTTCTTCAGGGTCGATGGAATACAAACAAGCTTATGGGGTGATTAAAAATGCTGTAACTATTTCCTACATTTGACATCTCAGGGTTACAGACAAAGGCACGCTTACATCTTGACCCAGGCTCCTCTCGACAACACCATCACAGATTTCTGGAAAATGATTTATGACAACAAGCTGGGAACCATTGTTATGCTGAATAACTTACACGAGGGAGACGCGGTACGTTACTTTTCGTATGTATATCTTTTAAGGCATGCATGCTTCACTTATTTGCATCAAACTCATTCTATTGATTACGCGACCCAGACAAGAGGCTGTTTTTGGATTCTGTCAATGTACTCTGGGCTCCAGTGCTCTTAGTTTTGGTTTCCGGTGGTTTCAACGAGCGAGCGATTTCCCGTCAAAACAGCAAACAACACAGGAACGAGAATAAATATCATCTTTCCTTGACATCGTCCCGTTAAAACCGCATACGGCGGAGCGACGTCTGAATAAATGATCTCTCGACCGCAGGGTACTGTCAATCAAAATTCCAACAGAATGAGTTTGTAATTATTGAGTTGATGAAACAAAAATCCCAGGTTTGGTGGTCGCACAATGGGCCAAATCCACTTAGGTGTAACATAATATTTCAACTGCCCATTTCAGACCACGTGTCCACGTGTGAGAATAACATTCTTTGTTTGAGTTGTATCCATATTCATGTGTCTTCTCATGTGCAACCGTTAAACAAACAAACAAACAAACAAAAAGGTGGTCTCTAGGTGGTCTGAAATAGGAAAACAGTAAGATTATGYAACATGTAAGATTACTCGAGTCTAGGGGTCTTAAGCTTCCTTCGATAAAACATTTATGGTTTTTTAGGAACTTAATTTTTAAACGGAGGAAGCTAACGCTCATCCACTTGGACTCTCCATTTCTAGAATAAGATTATTAACATGAATTTTACTAAACGTGTTTTACTAAAATTTCTGTGTAATTTGTCGCAGAACTACCCAAAGTACTGGCCCCAAGAAGGATCAGAACAGTTTGGTGATATCACAGTTGAGATCATTCAAGAAGAAGAAAAGAATTCTGTTACTTTACGAACGTTTACCCTGGCACACAAATCGGTAAGTCCGGGTATTATTTCTCTCTGGAACCAACTCTAACTCGTGGACCTCTTTCCTGGGTATCCGAAACCATTGCTCTTCTTATGTATTACGGGAATCACGGGTAGCGTAGCGGTGAGAGCGCTCACCTCTCACTTATGCCATTGGTCCCGCCGGTCTCAGTTTCGTATGTAAGTAGAGTCGATTTTTGGTTCTCTCCTTTGCTTCGAAAGTTTTATTGGTTCTCCGAATCTCCTCAAAAATCAACTAGTTCTTATGTAAATTCCAATTGGAATTTTTTAGAGGATGAAGAGCCATTCTGTGACACAGTCATCATTAGTTACAGTATCGATCATGCAAGCGATTCCTAAAAATAAATCCAATATGAATTCCACGATTGGACTTTCAGTAGATGAAGAGCCAGTCTTTGGAAATGCAACTGCTAAATCAATCCTATTTATTTTTATTTTTTATTTATCATTATTAGTTACAGTATCATCAAACGACTTGAATTGTCATTTTTTATAGAATGGTCCTGATGGAGTGCATGAAGTAAGACACTATCAGCACACAGACTGGAATGATGGTTCTGTACCAAACAGTGTTAGAAGTGTATTGGATCTTATTGAGAAGTTGGAACGGTCACAACAGCAGTCAGGAAATAAATCTATCGTAGTTCAATGCAGGTATCAACCTATCCATTCCATTCCATTCTATTCTATCCGTTTTCTTTGCTTTCCTTTCATTCAGCTCCATTTCCTTTTTTCTTTCTTTGATTCTTTGTTTTTCTCTTCTCTTTTCTTCTCTTCTCTTCTCTTCTCTTCTCTTCTCT